CACTTTCAGCAACAGCAACCCTCAGGTCAGCGTCCTTTTTATGGGCAACAACACAGCACACCTAAACCCTTTCGCCAATATGATAACACTGGCAACAGAAATAATCCCATTGTTACAACCAACCACACCACTTAAACTTGATCAGTTCGCATCCGCCCTCCACAATCACCCCGATAAAGTATTTGTCGCCTCCTTTCTACTTGACATTTCACGTGGGCCGATCTTGGCTTTACTGGTCAATGCTACTCCCACGAAACTTGCAATGCCAGGTCTAGCCGGCTACAACCCAATGTTGTTTCAAAAGCCATCCACAAAGAAATTATTCTTGAACATACCATTGGCCCCTTTGACTCTCCACCATTTCCCAATCTTGTTATTAACTCATTGGGTGAACGTTCAAAGAAGACTGGAGGACATAGATTGATAATGGATCGTTCCCAACCTACTAACAATAGCGTGAACGATTCTATACCCAAGGAAGACTATTCACTGACTTATGCAAGAGTCGATGATGCAATTTCTATTATCAACAAGCATGGTCTGGTACTCTACTTGCTGAAGTAGATATTAAACATGCATTTTGATTGTGCCCCGTGAGGAAAGAAGATTGGCATCTTCTTGGATACAAGTGGTGCAATTCGTATTTCTTTGATCGTGTCCTACCATTTGGGTTCCGATCTGCACCATTCTTATTCAACCGTATTGCCTCTGCATTAGAGTGGATAGTTCGAAATCAAGCATCCTACACTACCTGGACGACTTTCTAACTGGGGGACCACCTAACAATCCATCATGCCAACACACCAAGAAACAATTCTTAACACCTGTACTGACTTGGGTATACCGATTTCTGATTAGAAAGTCAAAGGGTTCGTGGTTGTCATCACTTTCCTTGGTATCCAGTTAGACACTAACGCGATGGTCATTCGTTTGCCACCAGACAAATTCAACCATATCTTAGAAACAATTCCTACCTGGTCCAGGAAAGAGAAATGTTCAAAAAGAGAGCTGCTATCTATTATTGAAACTTTAAATTTTGCCTGTAAATGCGTTTCTGCAGGACGTATATTCCTTCGCCATATGATTGATCTTTCCACCACTGCATCCAAACTCGGTCATCACATATACCTAAGTCCTGAGTTTCATCTGGATCTGAAGTGGTGGCGTGAGTTCCTGCCCTCATGGAATGGCTCAGCAAACTTTCTGGCTTCAATGTGGTCAACCTCTCCGGACATGGAACTTTACACTGACGCCTCTAGCACACTGGGCTGTGGGGCCTTCCATAGTGGACAGTGGTTCACTTTACCATGGCCTGCTAACCTCGAGACTGATTCAATCGTGTCAATTGAATGGAAGGAACTCTTCCCTATTTTATTATCAGCTTTAATTTGGGGCCACCATTGGCATGGGAAGAAAATCCTCTTTCATTGTGACGATGAAGCCATGTGGAAAAAAGGCTCAAGCAAATCCCAGCAAATCATGGCACTTGTTCGCCAATTGTTCTTCGTTGCTGATTCTTTATCTCGTCAACAGATTTAACGTTTCAGACAATTAGTGCCAGATGCAGACCTACAACCAGTAACACTGCCAGATCTCGCAAAGTTCCTGCCAACCTAACTGAGCTTGAAGCACATGCCTATGAATATCTGCTACAACGAAATGCACAGTCAACACGATGCACCTATGCATCAGGTCAGTCGAAGTACTTCAAGTTCTGTCAACATCATGGCATAGATCCGCTACCTGTTTTGCCCCATAATCCAATCCTATTCGTCACCCACCTCGCTCTTGAGGGCCTGGTCTACAAATCCATCAAAGTTTACCTCGCGGCAATCACCAGCCTCCATATAGAATCAGGATACAGAGATGCTCGAAGCATGAATAAAACATTGTATCATACCCTACAAGGCATCAAGCATCACCATGGTGACCCAGTGCGTACAAGACTACCTATTACCATGGCTCTCATGCGCAAGCTGAAAAATGCACTTTGCGAACATCCTGCAGTCCATCCACACAACAAATTAATGTTATGATCCGCATTCACTCTTGTTTTTTATGGGTTTCTACGGGTCAGTGAATTTCACGGCTGCAACTACATCATCATTTGACCCCTCGACTACACTTCTTGACTTGGATATTCAGCTTACTGATGTCATCTCACTGAATTTAAAAGCATCTAAAACTGACCCATTTCGAAAAGGACATATGATCATTATTCCTCCATCCATGTCATCAGTCTGCGCGATTAATGCTCTAAGAAAATACAACTCTAGGTCGGAGTTACCTGCATTCAGGTTCATCAACTGTCGTTTTCTAACCCGACAAGTACTCACACACTGGATGAGGGACCTGCTTGTACGCACATGGATTGCCAATGCAGCAATTTATCCCAGTTACAGTTTTCGTAGTCGAGGAGCAACAACAGCCGCAACCAACAATGTTCCAGATTGGCTAATCAAAGTTTTAGAACGATGACGTAGCGACGCTTATCAGTTGTATATCACCACACCTACCGATATCATGCAACTCATTCCTGAACAATTCGCGTGTCATCATTAATTCATTAACTATACCACATATGCATGAAACCAACCACAGACTCGTGTTTGTGGTTGCTATGTTCATCCCTTTATCGTGGCTATCGTAATGCACCCTACTCATCTAATAATTGCTAATTTGAACACTTTGCTTGGACATTGTTTCTCAGTACTTTCATGATTTCATGAGTACATGTACGCATATGCTTATATTGCCTTCCAGTTTCGCCTATTATTTGTCCCTTTTGTTGTCACATAGAAAATGTTATCTCATTATCAGTTGATCAATATATTGCATGCTACATTATTTTCAAGACCTCATTTCATTTTGCTTACCATAATTACCGATAGTTATTTTGTATTGTTTGTTTTGTCTGCAGGCTTTAATTTGTCGTATGCTTATTTGCTTATTTTCTCGAACATAGTTAGCTAGTCTTTTTGATTATTTGGTGTAGTCGCTTTGAATCTATTGCATACTGTTTTTGTACTCTATATCTCGTTTCGTTTCAACTTTTATCAACATGCTTCATTATTCCTGAGACCTCAATTTTCAACTTTGCTTATCGTAGTTAGTTATTTTGTATTGTTTTGTTCTGTTTTTGCAGTCTTTCGATCTTTCGTATGCTCATTTGTATATCTTTCTCAAACCTAGTTAGCTAGTCTTTTTGATTCCTTTATGTAGTCGCTTCAAATTTGTATTTGTATTTTTACTCTATATCTTGTTTCGTTGCATTGATTATTGAATTACAGCTTCTCACACAACCATTCGTCATTTACTTCAAATTCACCTACCGGCCATCATTCACTTCTTTCGGTGCAATTCAATTTGGGGGGTTTGTCACCAGGGATTCATAGCTCGGTTCGGGTAACACGGCGCCCTTCTCCCGAGGCGAGTCGAATATGACTGAAACGCCAATAGAGATGAGACCTTAATGACGCCTACGCACACGAGTCCCCACAGGTGGCTGCCTCACTCGAGCACCACGCTGTCATTGTCATGATCTTGGTCACTGGCGACCTGGATCATGACATAGGCGGCTAAGACACTTTCGCACGTGAGGTCATACACCCCCCCGTCTTTGTTCCTCCAATACCTGTCTCTGTGTCATTTCTTGGGCGTTAATGTCACAATTAAATTCGCAGTCTTTAATTGGTTAACGCCTGGAAATGAGCATCCATCATTCTTTTCACTAGCCATTTCTCTTGTCATTGTTACCAATCTGACCCGATTCCTTATTTGTGGTATTTCTCTAACTTTTGTCTTATGTTTACCTCATTGCGCACCCACAGGTGGTTGCCTCACTCGAGTACCACGCTGTCATTGTGATGATCTTGGTCACTGGCGACCTAGATCACGACATAGACGCTTTCGCACGTGAGGTCATACCCCCCTGACTTTTTTCTCCAATACCTGTCTCTGTGTCATTTCTTGGGCGTTAACAATATATTATTCTATGTGAGATGTATTGGATATTCATTTTGTATTAAAAATAATCAAAATCGATGTGCAACAAGTGCGGGGACATTTGTGTGTAAGTTACACTATATCTGTGCGCTCTCCCCAACGAACTGCTCACTCGGTAATATTAATTAGCAGTGCCCAAACCACTACATTTTGTTAAAACAATGCCGGTCCTTCCTTTAGCGCACGGGACAAAAACATCCCTGTCGAAATGAGTACTGTGTTGGTGTGTTAAAACCCGTCTGTAAACCTCAAAATAACGCCGACCAGGTTGATCCGTAAGCCGGTTTATCTGATGTTATTAATGACGCACGTGTTACCGCCAGTGAATGATATCTGAATTGACAGTTCGGTGACTGAGTGACAGTTGTTCTCGGTTATTAGCCGACACTTTACATGAATCACCAAGCCCATTAAATATAATCACTTCAGACTACCATATGCTTAATCGAAGTCGGTAAAACAACACAATTCAGTCACCTAGTACTTGATACCATTGTCACAACACTGGGTAAAATCCATGCTTAAACTATTGTAATAACCATGCCTACCTAATTAATCATTAACGTTTTATGTATATTTCATGTATTATAATTGTTTCATGATACATTCTGTTGAATCTAATAACTAATAATTGTTAACAATTGCTTATCTGTCAAATATGCGTGGCCCCAAATATAGTCCGAGGTGTAAATCATAGAAAAATATGTAACACAACAGAACAACAGAATATTTGCATTTGCGTTGTGAGTTGTCATATGCGATTGATAGATGCATAAATATTTGTAAATTCATCACAACATTGTACTCGCACATATGGTCGCATTAACATTTAGTCTACGTATTTCCTCGCCATTATTGCATATTTTTATTATTTTGTTTAATAATCTTATGGTCAATAGTGTTTGTAGTGCCGCAACTCTCTTTGAAGTATCCGATGATATAAACATATAAATAATTCTTCTGCAGTACGTTAAGTTACTCACCTAAGACCCGGCAAACTGACTACACGTGCTCATTATTGTACAAATTTATCAAGATGCATTTCAGTTTAGTTTTCATGCTGATAGCACTGATGTTTGTAAGTAACCTCAATATATTGATTTACAAAATTATCACCATGACAGTTATTTGAGTGACTTCATTTAATGAAATGTTTGCTACATGTAGACAACGTGGATGAGTTATTTAATTTATAGAGTAAACACTTTCTATTTACGTTTCAGGTGATTGCTGATGGTGCTTGTAAGTAATATATTTCATACATCAATTTCACATTCACACCACACTATTATTTATTTTCCAATGTCTTCTGATTGAGCGATTTTCAATTGTGTTTTCATGAAAATTTAAAATAAGCTAAATAGTGATTATTCAGTCTGAATATAGCACTACTGACAGGATTTGATTGCTTTACAACAAATATGAGAAATCTCCTGAAAAATAATATTGTTTACTATTTTGATGGTAGTGGCTAGTTAATGGTGATGCCAGTATTACTAACAATATAAAGCCAGCACGTTGCTAAATAGTTCTTTCAAATTAATCATATGTATCAATAAGAGCAGCTAAGAAAAAGTTAAACATGTAAACTACACTTACTGTAAACTGGAGAACCTATCTCAGCGAGCAAACGTGGACCTTAGAAAGTGAATTTTGACAGGTCAGTAGGTAATGCGAGTAAAGTGTAGGCAGGTTTACGCATGTAGTCCAAGTATTGATTCTGATCTGACGATACAGTGAATATTGTATTTCTGCTTGAATTTTCAAATAAATGTTGGTATTATTTAGTGATAAATTATCATTGCTCATATATTTGTTTTCATGCCACCCCCCCCCTGCATCAGCACGTGACTGTGCGACTGTGTGTAATGGTGAATGCCGTGCTTCATGCCAGTCGAATCAGACTCAAAAACAATGGTGTAAAAGAAGCTGTTCAGGAGATGACGTGTGTTGTACACCGCCAGGTATGTTTTCACAGCAACGACGAGTTGCTTTCCAATAACAAATGCATTCAAATATCATTTTACTTAGATTGTGATTGATGTGAAAATCAACTTAGAAACAACATACAACGAAAATACATATTTCAACGGTTTTTTTTTCATTTCCTATATTGCCAGACACAGCTACAGCTGGTGACGACTGTGTAGCTGATGTGGGTGGTACATGCCGTGCCAAAAAATGCAATAGAGATGAAAATGAGGTTGCTGGTACAGGTTGCAGAAACGGCCGTGTTTGCTGTGTTCCGGAACGTAAGTGTTCACATTAAGAAAGAAAGGGGATTATTATTAGTGAATTCATGAAATACAATGTGACTAATATGTACAATGTTCCTCGATTATTCCTTAGCCCTTTTTGTGACTTGTTCTACTTCTCTATGCAAGCGTCCGACTGTACGTTTGTCTGAAGCTGTATCTTAGACCTGCCTTGACAAATTCTTTTCAAACCTCACACATACTAAATATCTCATACAATTAATTGCACATGAGGCGATTCCGCGAATCGGTAAATTCAAATTTCAATTCAATACTGTTTTTTCCTTATTTTGTCTGGCACAGCTGACTGTGTAGATGATTTGGGTGGTACATGCCGTGCCAAAAAATGCAATAGAGATGAAAATGAGGTTCCCGGTAGCGGTTGTAGAAACGGCCGTGTGTGTTGTATTCCTGAAGTATATATTGAATGTAAGTATTCACATTAAGAAAGAAAGGGGATTTTTATTAATGAATTTGTTAAATACAATGTGACTGATATGTACAATGTTCCTCGATTATTCCTTAGCCCTTTTGTATGAATTTTTCTTGTTCTCTCTTCATGTATCCCTTGATAAATCGTATATGCACGTTCGGTTGTTTTACGATTCGGGAACAGGTGACCGTCTCGCTGCCATCTTTGTGTAAAAATACAACAAAATCAGATATATCCGGGGCCAAATCTCGAGCATATGTTGCCGATATACTTCAAACTTGATTAAACATCATAGGTATTTAATGTATGCCAATTTTATTTGTAAATTCGACTGTCGTGAGTAAGGTTAGTTTTACCCTACACATTCTATTTTAGACATAGACGATGTATATCGTACATGCTTTGCACAATTCACTTCAATGTGTATACATAGACATTGCATAATGCAATACATACACGCATACAATTGTCATATCATACCACGTGCATATCCATAGTGAAAAATACTGGTTTCCAAAACCAAAACAATTCATGCTTGTTATCATTGAAACTGAAGAGGTTTTGAAAGCAAATGTTGGGCCCCACTAACAATACAACTGTTTTGCAAATGCATTTTATAATGTTTGTCAATCAAACGAAACATACACTCAAATAAAGTGTAAAGATACAATATAATTCAGAAGTTGAGAATGCATCTTAATTAATATATTTTGTTCGATTGCGTCAAGTACTGTAAAACGCTTTCTTTTAGCTGGAATTAATTTTCACTGAAAAAGCATTTTGCGTGCTTTGTATTAAGTTTGTTTATTTTCACTGATTTTGAGCAGAAAGTAAACTGTAAGAAAACTTATATTTTTATATAAATGGTATAAATGATTTTATTGTCATTGATTCATCTGACCAGGAAAAATAGCGAAAATAAATTCCCAGTGAAAATTAATTACTTTACAGAAACATACTGTCTTAAAATAATTTCTAAATAGCTGCAACCAATCTTTCTAAAATATCTAGTTAAGTATACTAACACGTGCAAAACACTGTTTGATTGATTAATTTTGTGTTATAGTTGACATGTTATGACTGTGGTTATATAATATTTAGACAATATTTCAATGAAACTTATTGTTTTTATTTTACATCAACAGAAATCACGACATCGCCATTGGACAAGCTTCGACAGGAATCTTCTACAGATGAATATTAGTTGTGAATAGTTCAGTTAGAGAAATAAAGCTGATAAAATGACTCATTTGTGTAGATATGCGCCTGTGTTTTCGTATGTGTTTGTGTGTTCCCTAAACAGAATGCATTGTAGGGTAGTATTGTTCTTAATTTCCTCATTTCTGATATCAATACAAGAAATTATCAGAAAAAATCTAAAACGAACAAATGAAATATTTTTGTGAATTTAACCATTACAGTAGCACATTTTAAGCGAATCCAATTATCCCGAAATAGTTCCAATTGTGTTAATATAAAACTGATGGGGACATCAACCCTTCACAATAGTGTCTATACTGGTTACTGTTTTCGTTTAGTTCGTTTTTTATTTAAGCTGGTTAGATTGTTTACCATCAGTGTGAACATCCTTACATGAGTGACAATTCGAATCGCACAATGGCACTGGTAAAGCATGTCTATGTTAAGGTCAATACTAGTGTATTCAAGGTACACTTGTAAACATGGTCAACTATGATAATTTCCTAGTTTGGCAATAGATTTGTATCAATTGCATGTCATAAACCGTTTCTACCAGTACATCTTTGTTCCCACAATTTGAAAGTTGAAATATGTTGATAAATCAATGTGTTTTCTCACCATTGGATGTTTTGCATTTGATGACCGCTAAGGGCACAAAGGAATCGGGTGTGACCTAGGTGTGTTTACAGATTACCCAAATGATATTGAGGGCGGTGTTCAACATTAAAAAAGAAAACATATTACTTTGATAATTAGATCCAGGATTCAAATCCCCTAATAAGTCCCTAAATGAAAAATAATATAAGTCTTCAACTGGTGCATAACTTTCCAATACGTATTTCCATTGTTCTTATTTGCCAGTACTATCAGTACTTGCTGACGGTACTTGATTGATACAAAACAAGATTGCACAATATTAATACAATAAAATACTGGTCGAGTGAAAACGTTGCTCCAATCGCCAGTAAACAGAAAAAATAAAACAACGACCTCTAGAAAACAAAAATAAATCCTTAACCAAGGTTACTAAAAAGTGTCTGAACTAAGTTTTAAAAAGCATAAGGATGGGAATGAAATCAAAATTTTATAAGAAAATTATCCGATTGACGGGGAGAGTTTACGAACCCTCCCTCCCCTTCCAAGGCAATGCCATCGCCTGCCCCACATCCTTCACCCCAAAACCCCTTCCACACGTATTTGCGAATATAGCTGTGTGTCAATCCAAAGCCACAACCTGATTTCATTCCAGGCGCCAGGAAATCACTATTAAACTAACAACTGTGGTTCCTGCTACCCTGTAAAAGATCTTTCGTCACTCGCCTTCCCAAAAATTTTACTTTACCAACGTAAAATACTTGCGGCCTGTGTGTTTGTTATGTAGCAATTACAAACATATTTAAGCACTCAATGGTCATACCTTTCAGCAATAAACATCACTCTACACTTACTGCTTAAACTGACTGAAATGTTTCATAACTCGCAAGCAATAACTGAACTTGCATCAATCACCTAAAATCGGGTTGTGGATATTCAGTTGGCGCAACAGCAAATACTCAAAAAGCGTGGGATTGAAACTTTTGAGTGTTTATCTCGGCAATAATGTAACTTTTCATCCCCTTTCACACCATCGTATTGAACTGCACTTTTCTGAATTTAAAACTAAATAAGTTTGAAAAGAGCACAATCTACAAATCTAATCTGTGTTCTGTGACAGGACCCACAAATGGACATTATCTGACATGATATACTTAGTGTGCCTGAAATAGCTAAACACAATTTCCAAGATTGCAATGAAGTAACAATTATAAAAAATGGGGATCTGCAGGGGCGTATTTCTGTTCAAAACTCATCTGAACACTTATGATAACTGCACACAACACACCTACTTCACTATTATAATAACATTACGTCCCAAATGGTTCAACCGCATTTTCGCATTCCTATGAGGCTTTACTACTCCGTCGTTCAAAACACTTTCCAGCCAGGCACAAGGCAAATACTGGGAAACACCCTTCTGGGCTACGAAATTCATTAAAACAGAAATTTGCTTTGTTTTGGCCAGGATTGAACTATTTTGTTTTTTTGGTGGGTTATCGTTTTACACACTAGAATCAGTGAGTATTTACTTCATGTTACTTGTTTATGCTTTAAGTGTTTTAATTTTTTATTGAAAGGTGGCAGGGGGGTTGGTATCCTTTCAAGTGTGAAGCGGTGCCGAAGCCTGCCGACGGGGTTTCAAGTTTGTTTTACTGTTATGTGAGCGGCTTTTATTTTTTATTTTAGCAGTAAACCCAAAAGCACAATACAATACAATGCTGGTCGCTTGAGCACTTTGTTTTCAGCGCTCAATGTGTTTTTCCCCGGACTTGCTTTAAATGTAAGATTGAGGAGCACAAACTCACAAAAGAAGATGGATAATAGAAAATGGTTACAATGGTGACGACAATAGACCTACAAAAGTGATGCAGCAAGTAATAAAACTTACTAAGATATTGAATAACAAAAACGATGACATATTCAAAGTCGCATGGAACCACCAGAAGCTGTTATAAAAGACGATGAAACCAGCTATCTTAGAGATAACATTGAAACTGATAAGGTTGTTGGATCATCTAAAAACAGGAGTAAACTTTACAGTTAACAGAGACAAAACAAAATGAAACAAACTGAAAGTTGAAAATAGGACTGTAAAAGAGCTCAACGGTGGAAAAATAATTCTAAAATAGAAAAATTGTGCAATTGATAATCACCATCGCCTCCTGTTCTGCAGTGTTACAAGCTTGTTGATGTATGACATCATCACCATGGTAACACGCTGAGCTTGGGTCGTATTGGCACGCTTGTGCAATTAAATTTATATCAGCAAGTCCTTTCACAGGACAATTGGGAATACCAAAATATGTAATGGTGCTCTAGTTGTTTTTCTCCTGTTCACATCATCCATCATCATTGCTAATGACGGCGATAAAATTAAGAGTCCTGGCTGGTGTATGAACACATTTTATTAAGATAGTTTTTTATTACTTTCCAATTTCCGAAACACTTAACAAAAACATTAGCACATGAATATCAAGAAGTCCAGACATATAAAACCGCCAAAACGTACTTTCACCCTCTTGTGTAGGTTCTGGTTACCACGTGACCAAGCACATAACATAACTTAAGGTAGAGATGCAGGTTCGTGTGCACTTATATTATCCAAACAGTCTTGGCTATAGACTGTTAAAATTTTGTAGAATTGTGAATAGTGGAACATACTCAAAAAACGATTTTAAAATATGGATAACAGGAGCAAACATTCTCTCTTTTGAATGCTTAGCAAGATTTAGCAAAGCTGTACATAAATAATAAAAAGAAACATGGTGAAAAACAGGAATATTTAACTTTTTACAAAACGATAATGTATTTAAATTTCGAACTGTTACAGCCATTTTAATTACGAGCATTAGCAAACTTCTTACTGAGTGAATTGTTATGTAAATTAGCAATTATCTCAGCTTCTTGTTAGTGCACATCCCAGAATTTGCATTGGTTTTAGTTGAACAGTGTTACAACAATCGTACAGACAACTAGCCAAGGTGTTAATTTATGCATAAACTTGAAGTGATGAAATCTTAGCTGCTGCCCTGCAAAATTGACAACTGGTAGACAGTTTTCAAGACGGCACTCTCTTCATAGTAAACAGCTGTATTCATAAACCAATTTTGACAGGAAACAGAAGCATGGTTTAGGAGCTATTTTTTTAAAATCACTTTTTACTAAAAAAGCACATTTTTGTGCATATTTCAAACTACAGTTTCCATAATCAAAAAAAAATAGTAACGACATTTTAAATTTTATACAATAAGCTTTCCGAAAATATATAGTTTTGTGGACAAGGGAGGTCATCTTGGTTTCCTAATTAACTAATTAAAATTAAAATATAAGTACCTGGCAGGTAAACTGCATCTCTACCTTAAATATATTCGTGGTTACTCACAAATGTACAAATGAGTGTCACAAAAGATTATTATTGCGTATTTTTCTTGAAAACGGACTTTCCTAGCAGTGAGCATGCTGACTTTTGGAGAATTATGCAAACATATCTCTGTTAAAGTGCACACTATCTACAACTGGCTATTGTATTATCGTATAAAATATTGGTGATCGGTGACCAAACACACCACAACATATTTCACTTGCGCGAAAGATATCAGATTTGTTGAAGCGAAGATGATTTGATTATTTTCAAGGCTGTAATTAATTAGATAAAAATTAAAATTAAAAAAAAATTAAAATCCACTAATATATTATTGAATACAAGTGTTGAATACGGATGACCTAGTGATAGATTGTGATTAGACTAAAGCATGTTCGAATTACAGCGAGCGCAAGATATATACCTAACTCCCACACCAGGTAGGAAATTACTGAGGAACTTCGCAACACTCCCATACACTTTCCTAGACACTACAATGATCGTTGTAGACGCAATAATGTAACATACACGCCTAAGTGACAGTTAATCAAAACAACGGCCCAAGGTTTCAGATGGACTCAACTATTACAACGTGTAAGCGTCCAGTCAAACAATCATTAAACAATCATGTTTTTCTTATTTTTGATATCGGACACTTTATTATTTTATGCATACATATGCTCGTTCATTTAATAAATTCTATATTGAACGTTTCACGAAAATAATAAACCTAGTTGATACAAAAATGTATAAATGCTCCTAACATATAATGAAAATACCCTCGTGAGAACAGTTTTAAATGCAGTTTCAGATTTTGAACAATTATTGCTATTATGTCAAAGCGTTTAGACGAAGACACTAAGATGGAAATTATTTGCTTCTTGCAAATGATCGACGACGGAGGAAGCTGGACTAGCGAGGTCAACAGTTCAAGAGATTGTGTGGCATTTCTGTCGCATCGGTTGGATACGTTTCGAGAGGAGTAGCGGCAGTGGCGGATCCAGCAAAATGTATTGGGGGGGCAAGCTTCGCTTAAGATATACGGAGCGAAAATCGCAGAGAAGCTATGCGTAATCCAGATAATATG